AAAGAGACATCTTGGTGCTCTGCAGTTTTAGTGCTTGGATTTAGGAGACTTTTTCACACAAGCAGTTCTGCAGCAGAAGAGTGCTGCTGCACGCAGGAGTGGCTGGACGTGCAACAAACCCAGTTGTCGTACCATATCTCTTGGGAACCTCATAGGAGAGGCTTGGGAATCGCACCGAGCCAGCTAGCACACTGCTCTCATCCACTTGCTGCCTGTGGTTCAGCCACTAGATGGATTCAGTTGCTGTACAGATCTCCAGGCAGGGGTCCTGGGTTAACCGAGGAGACCAACGTGGAACTCGAGCCACGTAAAACCTATCTGTCTGCTGCAGTTAGGACTAGTGGAATAAGTGATCTGGCAGATCGCAGTCAGAAATACACAGCTGAGTGGCAGGTCCAGTTCCATTAATTTCTATTCTTCTTACATTTCTATTAGTCACCAACTATACATCGCTTACGTCTTTCCCCAGTACCAAGCAGAGACACCTGCCAGCTATTGCACCTGAGAGAAGCGTTGTTGCGGTGGGAGCTGAGTCTTAGGTACGGGAACACCACGGGATTTGTACAGAGTCTGAGAGCAAAAAAGAAAACCCTTTAACTTTTAAAACTGGAAGCATATACAGTTCTCCAGGCTGGGGTCACACGAAGGACATCCAAAGCCTACACAAAGGCTTAAGGAATTACTTGGCAGCGCGCGTGGCTCAGAAGATCAGTAATGATTTACAAGACCTTTCACCTTTGAGGCCTAGATCCTGCAAGCTCTCGTGCAGAGAAGTGCCTGGACTCCAGGCAAGCGAACCACGGACAGGGCTGCGCTACTCCCACTACAGCAGCGGCTGGAGGTGTGGTCTGGGGTCTTTTCAGGTGCCAAGAGAAAGCCCACTCCTAAAGTCGCAGAGGTGTATGGCTGGGGGGTGCAGGCTACAGCCAAGGGCTATAGGCTGGATCCAAAGCACCTAACGCACCCTGCAAAAAAACACCCTCTAACGCAGCATTAAGGACCCCCAGACCCTGAGATCGCCGCTGTATCCTAAGGCCGCACGTACCTTATGGCTGGAAAACTTCCATTAGCATCAATCTAAACCACATTTGCTGCCAGTTAAGCTATCCTTTCACATTCGGTCACCCCACTGACACTGAGAATAACTGACTCTAGGGTGGTTTTTGTAACAGCCTTTTGCATATCTTAGAATTTTTATGCTACACTCAGCCCTCTCCTCGCTAGACTAAACAAACACAGCTTTTTCAACCTTTCCTGTAGGCCATGTTTTCCCAGTCTCTCAGGGCATTTCTTTGCAGAAGCTACAGGGGCAGGGGAAATGCCAGCTTATTTCCCTTGTACTTCTACGGGAGAAACAACCCAGCAGTATTCAAGTGACTGTGAAACAGCAAAGCCCGGCAGCAACTGGGCATGCATTCAGTTGGCTTGAACAGAACAGCTCAAACAGAAACGTGACAAATGTATTTTCTTACTACTTGCTCACAGCCTTGCCAGCTGCAGCGGCGAGCCAGTCTCCCACCCTTCTGAGGCTGTAGACGGAGGCAAGGTACCACGTCTTTGCGAGGATAGAAACTCAGCTGGGCTTGTAGTGAGAAAGGAGTACAAAGAGGGGACATTTGCACAACAGGCTGGTTTGTGGCTATGGGCATACACACGTTCGGGCCCTACAGCTGATAACTGATGGCCAATAGTTACACCCCCAGACTTCTCCTACTTGACAGGTTGCATTCACTCCCTGCTCACCTCCTGCCTGAAGGCTTTTCGGAAGCCACTGTGGCTGCTGGGGGCAAAGGCACGTCCGGGGACACAGCTGACTACTGCAGGCATCCCATTCTCACAGGTCATGTTCTTCTCTGCATTCACATTGAGGTGATTGCCCAGTTTGCAGCTGGAGATATGAGCCTCGTTCCCACTGCAGTCCATTGAGTACGCCCAGTAATGCTGCTTCCTTCTGCTGGCAAACATCCTTAAAGGAATAAAAGAGAACAGGAAAATAAAAGTTAGGAATCCATAAAAACTGTGCTGATGTAGCTACATTTGGGAAAAAACACCTTGAAATAAAACGAGGATTGAACAGCATTATTTGAAAGCTGATCCATTCATACACACAATGATTCTCTGTTAAGGTGTCACTTGGGAATAAATAGGTCATCTCCTTAAGCTAAAGATCAGAGTATGAATCAACAGTGCAGCTAGAGCAACAATTATGCCCTCAAAGAAGAGACACGTAGTAGAGATCCCTACATTATGTAGGGGTCAGAGATCAGTTAAATCAAAAGGCAGCGTACAAACAGGGCCTCTGCAAATAACGCTGGTGAGTTTGGACTGGAGAGATCCCCAAAAGACCTCTCCCATAAATGAGCTGTTCTCTTTGCTGGCCACCACCTATCAGCTGTGAGAAGATGGCAGACTAGCCACAGCTCTCCGGCTTCTCTCAAAGCTGCAGTGTTAACAACTGCGAGCCTGAAAGCAATTTCCGAGAGCAAGAGCAATTCTCTTGATGATATGTTCACAGCAGAGGAGATTGGCAGCAGTTTCTGCTTCTTGCTCCCAAACTGCAGCGCTTGCCTGGAGCTGCTCCAGGGACTCCTAAGGGGGGGAAGGGGCATGTGTGATAAATGAGAAGAGAAAGTAATCCAGCTTCATCCTAACTGCATTACAAGGCTGTCGGACAACTCTATCAGAGCTAAAATAGTCAATGGAACAGAAATATGGGTCAGATCATTACCAAATGGGAGATGTTAGAAGTAAAAAACCCAAACAGTCAAGGCACAGAGGAGCCAACGCCCTGCTGTGATCCTGACGTGGCTTTGCGAGATCCCAGTGCTGCCCCGTATTCCAGAACTAGCTGCCATGCAGTCCCGGCGATCCAAGGATTAGCTGTGATAAATGGCACAGCAAGGTGGATGGAACTTGCTGGGAGAAAGAGCACCAATTCTGATTAACTGTAGCACGTCCCTGCAGGACAGAGAGCCTGAACAGGATCTAGTAAAGGGACAAAGAGCCTTTCGTAGGTTGTTGGTTTGAAACTAAACTGGACAGGTCAAGGTTTTCCCAACTGATGCCCTTTGGTGGTCCCGTGTGGGCTAATTTGCACCATTTCAGGTGCTTGAGAGAATTATCTTCTCCCCTTCCGCTTGCTAAGCTTTGCTGACAAGCTCAGCAGTTGTCTAGGCTCATATGGCTCACGGCCACTGACTAATCCTTTCTGGAACCAAATTTCTCTGGGTTGAGGGTAGGGCCAAATACGGCCGGGCTGGAGATAGAGATGCAATTGCATCACGTGATGGGGAGTAAATGCTGCGCTGGAAAGGACAGAAGATGGGGCAGGGCTGAGATCTATCCCATGGATCAGCGACAGGCAACCTGCCTGTCTCGTGGGTAAAACACTAGCTGTCAAACCAGAGCTGTCAGGGACCCTGAATCAACAGAAAATGAATGGGAAATAGGAAAGGGGAATAAAAATTTTAAAAATAAAAAATAAGTAAAAACAGGGAGGGTAGAGGCAGAAAGAAAGCGCCAGCCGCTTCTCAGCTAAAATATCTGGTTCAATTTGGACCAAACCTTGTAGATTTTTATTCCTTTTAATTAAACTACCCAGGATACTACACGCCTACCAAAAAGCCGTGAAAGCCTCTGCCCTTGGACTGCTGGAGCTGAGCACCGAGGTCCCACCTGAACATTAACTGCCCTCTCGGACTGCAGAGCGACGGGGCAGATTCAGGCACGCGTTACACACCGGAAAGCATCTGGAGGCGCCTGCGTTCAGCGATGTTAACTTCACACTCTCATAGCACGAGCCAGCTCTTTCAGTCTGCGTGCCTAGTATGGAAGTGAGAACCTGAAGGAGTATTTTCACTGAGGGCCCTCCACAGACGTGTGCAGAGAGCTCCACGAACTCCAAAGCAGACAAGAAACACAGCCTGTCTTAGAGAAGTAATTACGGGGATGCCTTATAATAGCAAACAATGACCTCATCCTGGAAATTTCATGAGGCATTAACATCTGGTTGGTATTAACAGCCCTTGGTAGGCTGGGAAGAAATAGCCGGAGAAAGCCCCACCTCATTTCCCCAGACCGAATATAGAGAAAAAAAGAAGTAGAATACAGATGATCTTTACAGACAGAAACTCAGGGCATTCTTGTTATTTTCTTTTTAAACATAGAAAGGCTGCAACCCACCTCTCATCGGCCTTGGTATAAGCCAAGAGCAATGCTGCTCAGATCAGAGGTGTGGGTGAACAGTCACGCTGTGAGAGTTTAGCCAATTCTAGGTCAAGTTGGAGCCCAAACCATTTCGACTGCTCAGGAGAGATGGACCTTCACCACACAAGCTTTAAACAAAGACACAGGTTAAGCCCAAGGGCTGTGGGAAGTGGCTCAGGGTTTAGCTAAAGCAACCTTGCTATGTAAGAATGCATTTGAGAGGGTTCGGGGAGAGCAGAAAACAAATCCTTACACACATACATGCTGGGAAAATTCACCCATAACACACTGAACAGAAGCTGGTGAACTCCTCTTCAGGGGTGCGAGCATAAAGTTTCTGCCTGTGAGAAATTCTTCAAACATTTACTGAAGTTAACAAGTTTGCTGTCTTCAGCCTCAGGGAGGCAGTAGAGAAGGCAGACCTGCCACCTTCTGCCAAAGCCCTTAAGATCCTGGCTTTGCTAGGGAAAACCAAACCATTCTGATTTCTACTACAAGCATAGAAGTGATTAACTGCCCTACACATCTGACCAGATTTATAATGCTACGAGCAGGCTGGTTAAACTGGGAGATGCTGTTTGGACTGACATTGAATGAAGCATCCTGGAACTGCTGAGCTCCTCCATCCAATTCTTTGACAAATCACAAAGCCGTAAGGCCTTAAGAAGGCATCAGGTCCATCTCTCTGCCTTAGGCATCTCTGGTCACAAACTTCTACTCTCCCAGTCAGCAAAACACGTTTAATTCTACTCTGCTTTCTCAACCAGAGCAGGAGTTGGGAGGAGGAGTTAACAAGTGGTGCTTATATAAAAATCACTTTGAAGAATGAACAAGAACATAGAAACAACATTGAGATTTGTTTCGTTTCCTAACATAAATCGTGCTGTCGACTGCAGAGTCTAAGTTACATTCAGGAATAAAACCCTGGCACCAGGACAACAATGAACTAAGTTGTTTTCTTTCAAGCAAGATCCATCTGCAAATCATTTCACCTCCCACCATTGTGCAGAAGCAGAGCAGAGTATCAGCTAGCTCAGCATACAGCTTGTGGGGAGTGGGACTGGCGAGGATGTGGGAAGGGGGCATTCGCAGCCCTGGCCAGCAGAGACTCGATTCCAGCCCGCCTCCCGGCTTATCTGCTCTTGGGAGAATGGTATTTACGAATCAGGGAGAGCAAAGCCCGAGAAATGAGAAGAACGTTTCTGAGGCTTCACACTCACATGGAGAGAGGGTTTAGTTCGAGTGATCAGCCAGAGATGAACTCTTCCCTCTCCAAGACAGTATATGACCAGAAAGTGTGTGGGACAAAGCAGAGAGCAGGGCTCTCATGGCCCAGGCGAGCAGATTACAGCAGTCATCATTCCAGTACCTTGATCGAGAAGCAAAAATCACTCGTGAGGTTCCCAGCCCAGAACTGGGAGGTTTCCCTCACCAGCTGGTTGTACCTGATGCATCTGCCAGTAACACAAAGCACAAAGGCAAACGCCCCAAGAACGAACACAGCTTTTTAAACTATGCTGTGCTGGTTTTGGCTGGGGTAGAGTTAATTTTCTTCCCAGTAGCTGGTACGGGGCTGTGTGCTGGATTTGTGCTGGAAACAGTGTTGATAACACAGGGATGTTTTCGTTACTGCTGAGCAGTGCTGACACACAGTCAAGGCCTTTTCTGCCTCTCACCCCACCCCACCAGCGAGCAGGCGGGGGGTGCACAAGAAGCTGGGAGGGGACACAGCCAGGACAGCTGACCCCAGGGATATTCCACACCATACGATGTCATGCTCAGCATATAAAGCTGGGAGAGAAAGGAGGAAGGGGGGGACATTCGGAGCGATAGTATTTGTCTTCCCAAGTCACCGTGACGCGTGATGGAGCCCTGCTTTCCTGGAGATGGCTGAACACCTGCCTGCCGATGGGAAGGAGTAAACGAATTCCTTGTTTTGCTTTGCTTGTGCGTGCGGCTTTTGCTTTACCTGTTCAACTGCCTTTATCTCAATCCACGAGTTTTCTCACTTTTACTCTTGCAATTCTCTCCCCCATCCCACCGGGGTGGAGTGAATGAGCGGCTGTGTGGGGCTTAGTTGCTGGCTGGGGTTAAACTATGACTTATGCTAACCAAACAAAACCGTCCAGCTGACAAAGTTTTACAAGTCTCTTCCCTCCAATAAAACGACATCCCATCTTCTTCCATCCTGGGATAATTCAGTATATTTTCTAAAATACCTTTCTGGGGTGCAGGAGCCCAGCAGGCCGTTACTGCTTGCCAAATATGAGCAAAGGTGAGGGAGGTATCAGGGCACTGAGGCTACTTAAGCAATCTGTCTGGCTTGGTAGCAGAGATCTCCAAGCCTGTTATTTGTAAGCACTGCATATTCATGACTCCAGCTCCGGTGAATGGGATTTTCAACATTGCTGAATATTATGCTGAACAACCGTGCCTCAGTTTTTCCATCTCTACGTGTACTATTGCAAGAGACAGGACAATTACCAAGCACCCTTCTATTTAAGGCCGATGACTCCAGCTGCTAAAGTTAATGCTTTTCTTGGAAACACCACAGCTGAGAAGCAGGAAAAATCTACTTTATCTTACTAGAGGTAATTTATTCTGCCTTCCTGCTCTGATGCAGGGGATGGGAATCTCAGAGCTGAGTTTGAGGGAGACATGCTGCACTGATGGGAGCAAACGCTCCTTTAACTGGTGTCCAGGGCAAAACATGAGACCGCCTGGTAGCAATTATTAATTCACTGCTCATCTCCCTGGGAAGCCTGAAAACAGAATTCCAGTTGGGTTATTTATTTTATATTCTTTGTGCTGCTATGTGGCTTTACGCTATTCCAACCCAAGGACCTCTTCAATTGATCACGATCTTGCTAATGAAAGAAATGAAATGAAACGTGGCCAGGCAGTTCCAGAGGGAGCTTTCGGAAATAGAAATTGCAGAGGCCAAAAGGAGCAGGCAGGAAAACCACAACTCCTGCCTGGAGAATCCAGTCCTCCCCTAACCAGTTGACACTTTCCCACTCCATAGGTCACAGTGTAGGAAAGAAATGAGACAGAATTTCACTTAAACTATTTTGCATCTGCTTTAGGGTGTTATTTCTAGGGAACAGTGTAGGAAGAAGCAAGCCTATGATGAAGGCTGGTGACAAAATGCAAGCTGAAGCAATGACAACAAAAAAGACCTGGCTTTCAAGAAACAGGTAACACAGCCTGAACTGATCAGCCTGCAGCTCTGAAATACTCAACATTCTCCCTATGGATCACTATATTCTTCCCTCATTTTAAAGCAATCTACAATTATAGGAAGAAAAAGCAGCACTGAAATCACAACTGCCCCAGACTGCATCCTTCCACAAGCACCGTCTCAGATGCACAGGCAGAAGCAACGTTGGGAGGAGTACCATGGATGCACTACTGACATTTTTAGCTCAGCACTCAACTCAGCTCAGAGCAGGCTTTAACGGACAGAGCGAGTAATACAGTTGGAGATGGCTGGCAGCTCTTCCAGCCTGGGACCCTCATGAATTGTCAGTGCCAAAGGAGCTGAACTGGGATTAACAACAGCGGGAGGTTTACTGGGAAATATTCCCCTGGGCAGACTGCTCCTTTGTGGGTGATTTAGCAGCTGGATACCCACGAACCGTGGTTGGTGAGCCTCCGTGAGAGCCAGAGCAGCTGGTAAACACGTCATGAGAGGTGTGAGACCAGGAATTGCATGCAGTAGCGGGAAGAAGGAACCTGGGCAACGAAGCACAACAAAGGCCTGTTTTATTCCAAGATTACCCCGCTGGAGCTTTCAGAAGATACCAGATCTGATCCTACAGCTGGCTTTCTGCAGAGAGATAGGGTAAGGGCTTAGACTTTCTTGTGGCTGATGGGTTTACTGGGAGACGTGATCAGTTTGTTAACATCCATCCATCCATCCCCTGCACACAACACAGAACCTATCACTGGTGAGGAAATGGCTGTCCTATAGCTGGGGGTGAGGGGGGAGATTTCTTGGGCCGACCTGTCCACATCTCCTATTTTGGACCTATCAAATACTACAACTGATAATACACGAGGTCTTCAGCCAGAACAGTGAGGATCAAACGACTCCCCTGTCTGCACAAGGAAATGCTTGACATTTCAAATATTTACACAGAAGGAAAATCTGATCTGAAGGAATGAAGCAGTTGGAGGTTTTTCTACCTCAAGGTCTCCAGTGTCATTTGACAATTTGCATTTTTGAACAAGGCCCCAAGTGTTCAAAGAAACATGCTTGTGTCTCATACAAAGCTCTGCTCTTACTTGTAGACGTTGGTGTTGTATTTCCTCTCGCTCGGAAATCCAAACATGCCACAGACAACTCGGGAATTTTTCATGGTCCAGTGCTTGTCGCAGATCTGCTTCCAAGTCCCTTCGTCTTTCACCTCCACATAACCCTCCGTGACAGGCACCCGCTTGCGGTAGGTGGCGAGGATGGCACGGATCCTTATGTCCTCCACCTGGATGTTCATGTTCTGTAAGCATAAAAGAAACACGAATGATGCTGGCTTGCAAGGAAACTGGTTGTGTAGCTTTGAGGTGGGGAACAAAAACCAGTTCTGTTCAGGGTTAAGGCTGAACAGAGGGAGGCAGAAAGGAAGAGCTTTTCCTAAAGGAGAAGACACAACACGGAAGCAAACAAACCTTTCCACCTGGTGCAAATCCATCCTCCGTCCTGCAAAAGAGGATGCTTTTTCTCATTAAAAAAAAAAAAAAAGCACTATTTTACAAATGGCTATGTAACAAATCTCCTTTCTTACTTAAAGTCATTGAAGTGCTTGTTTCAGAAGCACAGTGACCTTAATTTAGTCACAGCTACTATGGAAGTGAACCGAGCTCAGCTTTGCTAGGGCCACCTTAACACTGGCAGGGTGCAGGGAAGTGGGAGCCCGGGCAGGGCAAGATGTTGGGGGCTCTCACCAAGCCCCTGGGCATTCCTTCCCCACCTGGCCTAGGCAGGCACTGAGAAAGCTGGGATCCCGATGTGCTGACACTGGCATTTCACCGCTTCCCCAAGCTGGGTTCCTCCTCCAGCTGAAGCGTTACTTGGGACAGCAAATGAGTCACGAAGGTTGAATGGATTTCACATTTGGAGCCTACGTGAGGACACTGCACAAACAAACCTTGCAGGGACCCAAAGCAAAGGCTGACTGGAAAATATCCGCTGTGGCAAGCAATTACAAAAGAGCTACTGAAAATTTTATAACTTGCTTCCAGGAGAGCTTTTCTTGTCAAAAATGTATAAAACCACGTGGTTCTGCTAACAGTTACATCAGAACTGAGGAATCCTCCCCTCCCCTAGCTCAAATTCAATCACTTGGAAAAGAAAAATGCCCAGAGCTTTAAAGAGACACGGGCCTCTGCTTACCGATCAGCGGCACACAGAGGTACTGAAGTCAAGGGAGATCACAGTAGGACATGCAGAGTCCCACAAATTACACGTGGTGCATCCATTGTCCAGATGCTTCACTGACACTGATGCAACTACCAGACCCTGGGCAAATGGAAACCAAATGAGAGAAGGAGCCTGCTGGGGCAGGGAAAGGGGCAGGCACCTCCTCCTCATCCACAGCTCTGCTACTGCTCTGCCCACATTACCTTGGGCAAGTCACTTAAGGCCCCCCCCCCCCCCCTTTTTTTTATTGTCTACATTTGCCTCCCAGTTTTACAGCAAACCAGATCACTGATTCCTCCTTTCACCTTCAGCTGCAGGGATTCAGTCCTCCAGCTGCTTGGCTGGAGCATCCATGAGCAACCCCCAGTGACCCTGGAAAATAGGACCTTGTGATTTACCCAGTAGGATAGTGTTACTCATACAGGGTTCACAGTTTGGGCTTAGGCTTTGAAAGCTCTTGTAGCCCTCAAGAAGAAAAAAAAAAAACCACAACAATACCCAAGTTTGTTACATCTGAGACATTTTAAGGTACTCAAAGGGTCTGATGCAAGAGCAAACTTGTACACCTCCTGTGTAGCCTGGGAAGTCCATTTGCAATACAAAGAGTTTCTCCTGAATTTGGCAGACTCTCTTGAAATATTGCATAGCTTTTGACTACGTGCTGTCAGAAAAGCAGCAGAGCCTCTGTGCATTGAAGGCCTCCCCAGGCTGGTTTCCAAAGCCTGCAACTCACTTTTCCCCTGGTGCAGTTTATGAAATGTTTCCAGCTCTTCACTTGATGGAGAAAGCATGTTTACCTGGAGCTACAGGCCAGTGCTGCCTGAGAGAGCACCTTGTTTCTCTGCTCCCTCTACCTTGCCTTAGTAGTTTCTTCACCAAGAAACAAGAGGTAATCAAAGCCTTAAATCCATTTGGAAATAGCTTTGACTGCTGAAGATCTAAAAGCATTTTTAATAAAAGCCTATTAAAAGGGTTAACCCAAGGGACAGAAAGCCAAGGCTTAAAATTGCACTGGAAAAGCACATGAAAAGATAGTAACTAAGGAGGAAATTTGCATTGACAGCTGAGAAAGTGGGTGAGACAGCCTAAGTGAGTTTTTCCATCTGTGACTGCAGGATATATCCACCCTATATAAAGCCCTAAGTATGTTTGCTACAGGTAGTTACGTCAGTATCAGCCCTACTGCATATTAAAGTAACTGAAATGGAACATTTTCCCTGACTAGACCTGACATCAGCAACGTGCTAAAACCCACCCGTGGTTTTCACTTGACAGCCACTTCCATTTTGCTTGAATTTAGACAGGCCGGAGGCCGCAGCCGGTCCTCGGCACGACGGAGAGGAGGAGCATTCGGAACAAAGTGTGATTTCACATTCAGGAACCATGTTCAAGATGCCTGTGTTTTGTGAGAAAGCTGCACGACAGCAGTTGCTAGCCCCATTTGAATCATGCAGAGTGCCGTTCCAGATGTTAAACATCTGCCTGATGCTTCCACCACAAAGCGGCAGAATCACCGTTCCCACGTTGCACCTATTAGTCATCGTTAATACATCACTATTCTCACCACTGCGCCATCAGAGGTCTTCACGGAGATGGAAGGTGGTGACAAATCTGAAAAGCCTCCAAGGTTAAACAGAGCACTCAAGGGACGAGCGAAAGCAATGATTCTCAGCCTCCTTTTGCAGATTGAGAAATAAGGCGCAGAGAGCAAACTGCTTCTCCGAAGACCACAAGGGCAGGAAATTGCATCCAAGTGTCCTGAGGCCCCAACTCCAACCTCCCCATGAGGATCGCTCCGACAGCAGGGAACATCAGCTAAACCTCTAGCACTAAAGCACTCACATTCTGATCAAGCACATTTGGGTTTTTTTTTTTCCTCCTTCGCACCCCACCAGCCTAGCAGGAGCTGTGTTGCACAAAAACATAGACATCCAGCCTGTCTCTGACAGCTGCCAATATCAGATGCCGAGGAAAGAGCATCTGAACAGGGCAACATGCAGCAATTCTTCCCTGCTGTATTCCTGCAGCTTCCAAGCATTTGTATTCTCACAGACTTTCCAAGCCAGAGGGTATATTTTAACGTTCAAAAACCCTGGGTGGATTCGAGAATCCCTTACCGAGATTTATGATATCAGAGCAACAGGCAAAGAAAGTAACCGGCCCACCGAGCCAGGGAAGGGGAGAGAGAAGTCACAAAGTTTCAAAAAATAAAAACTCTTGAAAAAAGGAAAGCTTGGGAATGCTGTTATGTACCTTATGATTTGCCTGTTATTTTTGCAATTAGTTCAGCAGCTTAGCAAATAAAAACAAGTTACTACATCTGTTTCCAACAGAGCTCTGACCACTGCAGGGGTGGGGATGCTGGGGTCCCCGTAAAGGATCCTGGGGTGCCCTGACCTAGTGCGGTACCCGTGACCCAGTCTAGGACTCGAGATGCCTGCATTTCCTACTTCCAGGCTGTGTGTTTGGGCATGTCTTTTCCACTGACTGACTGGACTGGGTTGTCCTTGCTGGTCATTTCACAGAGCTGAAAAATAAGGTGCAAACTCGAACGGCTCACTCGTGGACTTGAAAAAACACTGTCAGAGCCAGCATGATACCTCAGGCACTGCAGGCTCCAGTACAAAGGTCCCACGACACGTCTCTCTTCCCCCAGAGATGCTGACATACACACAAAAAGAAATCCTGCTCTCACTTGGGACTCTGTTTTAGTGAATCCAACTCTTTTGTCATGGTTTTTTGCCTGTATTTGCCAAAGAAGGGGAAAAAAAAAGTGAGCAAACTAGCAAGAAATAAGCCATCATTTCATTCCCTCGAGGGTATTTCAATCTTCAGATAGCTATAGCAGACCGGCACGCAATGACATTTTCATGATCTGCCTGAGAGCAAAACCAATCCACGTCCATTCCCCTTTCCACTCACAGAGAGTAGGTTTAGAGCGGAGAATTATTGATATAGCAACTCGAGGGTTTGCACTGAGTCTGAACAAACAGCAAAACATCTGAGAAGAATTCAACATGCTGTAGACTTCAGCTTTAAATTGGAAGATTAAAGAACAAAGGATCAAAATAAGTATACTGTAGGTTTCTCAGGAAGAAAGGACTGCTAAGAGCTTTCTCCCGATAACTCTTTACAGATTTGAATGGTTTCCTTTCATTACAGAGTTTTTGTTCCACTGGGAGTATTCAATAATGCAAATACCGGCAGACTTATATTTTATCTTCCAACACCAACGTGTAGAGCAGCTGGGCTAATGGTGAAAACAGACTCCACATAAAAATCAGAAGCAAACAACACTTGATAGCTAGAGCAGACTTTTTAAAATCACCCTCTCCGTGCTTTATGTACACGTGGAGAAACACCTACAACAAGCTGTCATATCAACAAGGAAACCTCATCTCTGAAAGCTCTACTTATTCTCACAGTGTAGCCACACACTGAAGCTACAAGGTAGACCTGGTAAATCCTCTGAAGGATATCTGAGGATCCCAAAGCAGGTATCTGCAACCAACTCAGAAGCTGAATGTGCATCTGCCAAGCTCCCACCTCAGGTATCAACCATAACGTAGAGCCTTCAACAATATTTCAGGGGCCAAGCAGCCGTTCAAAGAGCAATGCTACCTCTAGGAAATAAAACTGGGTTGGCTGCACCCCACATTATAGGAAGGAAAAATAGAGACTCAAGCCCCAAAGCCAATGGGACATGGCTTGCTCAGTCTAAGGCTGAGGAACACAAAGCAGGGAGGGAGAAAACCATGCACAAACCCACAGTTCAGCTTCCTCAATACAAGGGAAAAATCCTGCTGAGGATTTCTACCCACAAAGCAAGAGGAGAGACCAAGCCCAGAAAGAGTTAACTCTCATGGCTCGTGCATGACAGTCCTCCCCTTCTCAGCTAGCCTTGCGAAATTTCCACTTATTTAGGCCAACAGCTGTGGAGATGTATGTGCCAGCCGTTTTCCTTTTTTATTTTCCTCCTAAACTCCAAGTCTTAGAATTCAGCTACTAGCATAATTCAGACCTGGATCGCCAACCTCTCCTTTGCTTATGAAACAATCCCACCCACATACTTGAGGTTGA